CAGTTAACTAAAAAGATGCTGGTGTTTTATCCCAGCAGTGGGTGGACCAGCATTTTAGCTTAAGGTCCGCATAGGTAATATTCCTACAAATCTTAAAAAAAAAAGCCTAGAACATTCTAGCATGCCCAGATAACGGAGGTCGGCTCGAGACCCGCCTGTAGAATTCTAGAATGATCTGGGCTTACAATAAGACGTAAATCAGAACAAAAAATGATGCAATACATTCTAGAATGTTCTTACATAATTAATACATCAATACCATCAACATATACATGAAAATTTCATTAAATTTGCCAAAATAACTGGCTGAAAACAATAAAAATACCTAGTTTACAAAATTATAATACGAAATTATGCCTCGGCATAACAATATAATTGAGTAAGAAGTCAACAATATACAATATGTCGCAAACTTGTTAATGTGAACCGAAACAAAAAATCAAAATACAGTATAGTCTGCATTTACGCGGTCAATTGAACCCGTGGAGGTCCGCATAAAACGAGAAACGCGTAAACGAAATAACAGAACATATGGGATTAATTGAAATAGAGACTGGGCCGACCCCCCAAACTACACTTTTTCAATAAGTATGTTGTAGTAAAAATAACATCTTAATTTTATGATGGTATGCACACAATTAATATTTAAGAGAAATACAGTCGCCGGTTAATGTCCATTCAAATAATGGACTCGACTCCCACCCCCCCCCTCTTCCCACGCTCGCTGGCTCCTCCCTCTCTGAGAAATGTTTGGGTGAAAACACTAGGTTTTTAGGTTTAGTAATAAATAATACCTCAGACTAAAGTTACCATAATATAATTCACATTGCTGGATTCCTTGCAAGACTGCCAATAATTTGAATATAAACATCATATTTTGCACAAAAGATAAAATTTTTGCTCTTTCTAATAAAATTCTTAAATTAGATCTAAAATTTGTATGTCTAATGCAAATTTTAGGATGTTTATATTTAAATTAATCACCATCTTATAAGAATTCCAGCAATGTAAATTATATTCTGGCCGGGTAATTTCTATGAATTTTATGAGCTAAAAACAAATATCTTCAGTAAATAAGCAAATTATACTTCACCCGCGTAAATGATGAAATTTACCGCATAATTAAAACATTTCATTCTGGCAAAGTGCCGCGTAAATGACCAAACATGTAAACAAAAACCACGTAAATCCAGACTATACTGTACATACAGTTCTGTATATCCCTCACTATACGAATGTGTTAGTTTCCTGGAAAACCCTTTAGTTAAGTGATTATTTTTATATCAAATACTATAATATACGGGAAAAAAATAGAGTTTGGTTCCCCAATGACAAGAAAACCTCAATAATATACCTAGAAAAAAATTAAATAGGTTCACAAGCAACAAAAAAACCTACCTTCCGTATTTTAATACCTAACTACTGTAACATAGAATGGCAACTAACTACAAGAAAAAAACCAATGTTAGACCTAAAAAAAAATTGATTCACAAATAACAAAAACCTACCTAACTACTATAATTCAGTACCTAATTAATATAATTTAGCACCTAGGACATTGAGAAATCAATTAAATACAAATTTTGTGCATTAACTTCTGGGACCATAGGTTTTGTGTTGTGAGAAAGAGCTGTAAAAATAGAAGACAGTGTTTTTTGTTTGTGAATATTCACAGAGTGAACATTCATGTAACGAGATACCTATAACTAGGAACATATAAATTCCGAGATGTAACCACTATAATATATATACTGTATATATTTTTATGCTCTATTTTCTTTTATAAAATTCAACATAGAGATCTGTGGTTGTACTCTACCACTTCTTAAATGTTTGTTTTGTTCACAAGACACAAAATTGCCAAGGCAAAGATAAGGTTTGGTAAAGATAGGTTAGGTTAGGTTGGGAAAAGTTAGGTTAGGTTACCGGGTAAGTTAAGCTTGGTTAGGCTTCGTTAGGTTTGGTTTGGTTCATTTTTGTTCATTTTTGTCACATAATTTGGGTTGGTTTGGAAAGGTTTACATGAATTTGCCTGAAAAATTTATGTGAAATCCAGTCAAAACACATCGAAATAAACCGGGAAAAACTCAATTTAGTCCAAAAAGCCATGGGCAGTCCTAAAACGAATAATAACCAAAAACTTAAAGTTCCAGCTTAACATTTTTGACAATACAAAAGTATCCTGCTCATTTTCTATATCCTATTGATACCAGCAATTCTGTTATCAATACTAAATGCATTAAATAAATCTCATAAAATCTATTGAACAATTAACTGTCAATATTGACAAGTAGCTTTGTGCCTCCTCTCTCGAGCCTTTAGAAATCAGAAGAAATACTGGTTTCTGTTCTTATTAGCATTGTTGGGGCAATTAATAGCTACAAAATAATTGTGTCCTACTGCAGATGTTAAAAGAAACTACACAAAACAATTAAAAATAAAGTGAATTCACCAAAATGTGCATCTCCCTCTCTTTAATCCTATCCTGGAAACTATTTTGTATACCTAGTAGCCACTTGGCAGCCACTGCCGTTAGTCACAGATCAGCTGATCCCATGACGAAGTTTCTCTGACAAGCCTAGCCGTTTAGACTCGGGGGGAGGGGTCGACACCGGCGACGCTTACTTCCGGTGGACGTGTGTGTAAGCTCACAGCCTCGCCGTGAAGTCCATTCTACCTAGAGCTCCGCATCACACACCACCTCCTCTAAAGAAGCTCCTGCACAGCAACTCCTCTACCAAGCACCAACTTCCCAGCACCAGACTGTTTTGTATATAATATATTTATATAAGAAAACAGCCATTAAGAGTTTCCCTTCTCCAACCCATCCTGAGTGCGAGACATCATAGCGTTAACACTACAAATGGTGACCCCCAGAGAAACGCACTCACACAGAATGGAGGAGAAACGGATCACTCTCCCAGTCTTCAATAACAACATTGAAGACTGGCTTATCCACCCAGAGGCAGCTCTCATCGGCTCTACAGTTACAGGCAAACAGAATTACGTCGCTCTGGTCTGTTCCCTGCCCTCAAAAGTCGCCACACAAGTTGCAGAAGTCATCACCAACCCTCCAGCTGACAACAAATTCACAGCTCTACGAGATGCTCTCAAGATGCAATACCAGCGGCCTGACACCAGTCTCCTGCAAGACCTATCCGGCTTCTCCCTCAGCAACTCAATGCCTGCACGTCTCTGAGACGAGATGCGGAGACTGAACTCCCGCCACACAGCCAGGCTTCCTGACACTATCCTGCGCCACCTTCATACTCAGAAGCTCCTTGAACATAAAAACTTTTTGTTTTGTTTTTAGTTTTTATTTAACTTTGTGTTATTTTTGTTGGTTTATAAGGATGTTGCTCTATTACAGGTAGTAATTCACCCAAAAAGTAGAGTAAATAAGGCAAAATTTAGCTAAACATCGAAAGTACCAGACTCATATTAATTTTCCCCATAGGAAGTTGTATTTAAATTTGGACGATTTGAATTTTGCGAGGTATTTACAGTCTAAGTAGGTGTCCAAATATGAGAGCCTACTGTAGTCTCCAAGTTATGCCAATTCTATGTGTATTCTGTTAACTAACCCCACCAACTGCCTATTCATTGCCATGGCAACCAAAAAATGGGCCAAGGTACATTTTACAAATTCTATTGAAATATGAATGGCAAATGAACAAAAATAAATAGAGGGACTTAAATGAGGTAGGTTAGGGATAGGTACGTTGAAAATGTATTTTTATTTCCGTAGACTTTATATACTATTAACCGGCCTTTTGGATTATCCATCGCCCCCTTAACCCCATATGTGAGCGGTTAATCGAGGTTTTACTGTATTTCTAAAGTGTCTTGTTACAAGGGTAGTTTTTACACTAGTGGGGCATGTGTGTTTCAGTGTCAACACTTGTTACAAAAAAAAATCTTAATAGTACAGTACTGTACAGTGATCCCTCGGTTAACAAACGCCTCGGTTAACGAATTACCTTCCATAAGATCTTTCACTTCAGTTAACGAATTCCTTACGAATTTTTCCCAACATGTTTTCGCCTGCTCACCATCTGTAGTATTAGTCCGCCAATACAGTAATCAGTTTTAGGGATTAAATTCGTTACCATTTGAGTAAATATCAAGAAGGTTGTACTATTCAATAATTTTCCAAGTCTTATATTAAAGTTTTTAATCATTTTAACAATTATTTAACATAATTGAAGTACAGGGAACTAGTTTATAGCAAGCCAAACAGTCACTTGACTCACCCAAAATGGCGTCAGTGTGTGTCCCTGCTCAGTGAAAGAAGCATCTTGCTTGAGACTCTCTTGAACATAAACTATTTTTACGTTTTTACAGTACAATTATTGGTCATTCTGAAGTTAATTTTACATATTGACAATATATATAATGCAGTGCAGTGTTGATTTAAAGAAAATAATCTTGAATTACACCAAGTGAAATAAAATTTTTGGGTGAAATGGCACCATGGGGAGACTTCTCTTCCACCCCAATGCCTTCTCTTCTCCCTTCTCCTCCACCCCCATTCTAATTCCCATCATCATCATCATCATCATCTTCAACCAGGAGCCTTCTACATGCACACCTCAAAGTAAGTGTACTTTACTGCATTTATTTTTAGTTTGTATGTAATTTTCGGTGAGCTGGAACCAATTACCCAAAATCCCATTGAAACAATGGTTTCGGTTAACAAAATTTTCGGTTAACGAACGATCTTCTGGAACGAATTGTGTTCGTTAACCGAGGGACCACTGTATGGTTATTCACCTTCTGATTCATATGAAGATGAACTCCATTAGGACGTCATTAATGAAAAAGTTTTGTTCCCTCTTCTACGGAGTTACAGCTCCATGGGCATGTACAGTATAACTACACAGTAAGGTAAACAATTCTTCACTCTGTTACCCACCAAAGATGCCTTTGGTATATTAAAAATTACATGATAAATTCACAATTCCTAAAGTCAAGAACATTTTAAAATAAAAGTAATCAGATTATCAATGCACTTTTATTTATTCATATAATAAACAATGGATATTTATCATCATGCATTAAGACATCAGAACCAGATATGATATAATATATAGACAAGACAACCAAAGCCCTTTTCAAGATGTATACATTACCCAAAATATAATAAAAAAAAATCTGTTCAATACTACTACTTTACATCCAATTGAAATCTTAAACAAAAGATACACAAAAATCCTAGGAGAGTGGTCAAAGGTCTGACAAATTGCAAGCATTAAATGCAAATTCCCCATAAATATGGCAAAAACAGCAAATAACCTAAGCTTTCATGTCAATTCATCTAGGCGTTTTCATTAAACACTGCCAACCAAGATGAATTGCATCACTGACTTCATACAAGTCACTAAACAGTCCAAGTCAAAACGAATGATCCACACAATTGATCCTTGTTAACCCCCTCGTGCACACAATACATTTTTAAGTTTCCATAACCACAGCAAAATTCATGTAACCACTCATGTAAGGTCTGCTGGTCATCTTTGTTCTGCAGCTAATTTATCCAACAATATTTGTTTTTTTGCATGGCTTATACATCACTGGCTTCATTATTGTTTTAGCTTTAACATAATCAGAAAAATAAATAAATAAGGTGAGAATAAAGCTATATTTTTCACTCTGAATAAAGAAGAAAAAATATTTGTTCCCATTATCATATCTTGGATATTTTCTCACAAACATACCAAGGTATAGTACTTTATAGTTATAGAAGAATAATTTTATGAAATTTCCAATGGTGGCTTTGGAATTTTGATACAACTAATTATGGGGAGGGTGGGAGAGGAAATAAATAGACAAATGCAACCTACAAGCACAGCTGACAGGAGGAAACTGATGAACAGCGGAATTTCACCAGCCTTTTGGTACTTCCTGGAAGCTTCACTTGCAAGATCATACATTCAACTATGATGCAATTACTGTATCTTGAAAACTTTTTGGGGGCAAATTTTTAGTTCAATGATGCAATTTCCATGATTCACGTCATGGTGCACGAGAGGGTTAACTCTATCATGTACAATACAGTATTGGTTTTAATATAACTTAAGAATGGTTATCGCCTTCAGGTACCCTCAACTTCAATCAGTGAATTTTGCAATTAGTTGTCTCAACTGCAATGTATTATAATCAAGAAAATAATTGATGTCTGTAAATACTGTACAGTACCTTGAAAACTATTGAAAATTTTCCATATTTAAGAAGTAAAGTGAAACGAAGAAAAAATATGAATGCAGATAATTTTCACAATGCTTTCTGACTACAGTATATGTGCAAGTATTGTAAATTATTATAAAACATGAAAGACTCCAGTCTTTTTTGCACAAAAATTATTGTCATTCAATCCTATACCAATGATTCCAAACATTTAAAATTTAAAATTTTAAACTCAGATTATTATGTACAGAATTCTTTTTTCTCTTTTTTTGTGGGAATGTGAAATTTGATTCCTGTTAACTTGAGTGTGTGATTGTGAAAATTATTCATGTAGGATAAAAATAAAATCCTAAATAAGCACAGGTACAGCCAGAAATTTTATCTAGAAAGGCAGAAATGAATTTAAGATAGGACACAGTTGTAAAATAAGGCTGAACATGAGGTGGAAGGATACACTTACATGTAACATGAGATAACACGGAGGAGAAAGCCAAAGTGTGTGGTGGTACTGTAACATGAAAACAGTGACTATATTTTCATGATGGGCTAAAAATTTATCAATAAAACTTAATATACTGAGAAAACAATAATAATAATAGTAATTTTGGAAATAAACCGAAAAGTTTGTCAAAAATTAATACCTTTTGTCACAAAGGCTGTAGTTGCTAAAAGCAAAAATTTCTTCTTGATGGACATTCTACCAGCCATGGTTAACTAGGTTTGGGCAAACTCTTCTAACTACTGATTATTCTCTCAACTCACTTCAATAATTAATCTGTTGAGGAAACCTTGGTATAGTATTTCCACATGTCGATAGTTCCTACGTCTCAGACATACAAACAGTAGAAAAATGAAGAATAAAGCAGAATTGGAAATCATTTTGTGTCATAACTATTTTCAAAAGTACAGATATACAGCAGACATTGCTATGTTGGTGTACATGTACTCAGCTGATTGGTTTAGTCTACTGTTTTTAAGTTTTTGATTCATTATCTAAAAAATAAATTTAATTTGCAAAATTTCATGAAAGAATCTAGCATCAATCATTTCATCTTTTGCTATGGTGATAGATTTTCAACTATTATCTTAACTATAGTCCAGGATCCCTTAAAAGGTTACCTCTAACTACTTTATAACTGAAAGAGTAACAAGTCCAACTATAAATTCATATATGTACACAAATATATTTAGATACACTTACTTATTATAACCATAAAATTTTATAACCTTCCCATTAGTTTTGCAAACATTTTCAGTCTTCAAATAATCAGTATGATTCCACAAGTCATTTTGAATTAATACAACATTAAGCACCAATTTTCCTCATGAACCACAATAAATCTGTAATATCTAAACATTGACGACTCCAAATGAATATCCAAACCCAAATTTATTTTTGTGATTTTACTAAGATGATACAAAGCCATCATACACTCCTTATCTAAAAACATATCTGATGGCTGATTAATTATTGAAATACCTGTTAAACTCCACTTGGTGCAACTGAGAACGAGTCGTAAATTAGTCTTCAATTTTGGTCCAAATGAATATATCTAATTCAAAATTCCAATGCTTGCTGAAAAAAACTAACTTCATTATAAATCAAGGAACAACCAGAGAAATATTTCTTCTGACAAAATGTAAGATGAGAATTACATAGATGTTGGGGCCCAAAAATTCATCTCTCTTAGTGATGATGGTTTTGGCTTTTGCCGACGTTTACCAGCTGAAAGCTTTGTATCAGACTCTAATGACTGAGATGCTTTTGTTCTATCTTCAAGCTGCTGAGTCATTACTGAAGATGACGAAGAGAGAGAAACTTGTCCAGCTTCTTGTGACATGCCTGGTTTTGTGCTGGAAATTTGTTGCTGATTACCCTGGAATGGCTTTGTGCAGAAATAGCTATGAGAAGTGCTCTTGTTAGTTCTTTCCATTACTACACCCATAACTTTGCGCTGGGCATGAGGTGATGTCTGTGGAGTGGTTAAAGGACTGGGTAGTGGAGTCAATGATGTAATACCAAGATTTTTTTCTGGTGAGGTTATGATGGGAACTGTCTGAACCTTCTCCACAAGGTTGATTCTCATTGCCAGTTCTGGCCTGGTCTTGATTTGAGAAGAAGAACCTGCTTCTGAAGGTTCTGGCCTGCTCTTGATTTGAGAGGAACCTGCTTCTGAAAGCAAAACTTCCTGAAATCTTTCCTCTATTGAAGCATGGGAGCCACTTAATGGAAGATCTTCTGATAAGACCAGAAGTTTTGTGTTTGCAGAGTCAGCACTGGCTTTGCTTGCTTCATCTATAGCAGCAGACTTAGAATCTGCCAAAAAGAGAAACAAATATATATATATATATATATATATATATATATATATATATATATATATATATATATATATATATATATATATATATATATATATATATATATATATATATATATATATATATATATATATATATATATATATATATATATATATATATATATATGTATATATATATATATATATATATATATATATATATATATATATATATATATATATATATATATATATATATATATATATATATATATATATATATATATATATATATATATATATATATATATACTCGACAAACTTTAATCATATGACACCATAAGTCAACCTGACAGTACTAATTAAGAAAAATTAAAAAGCATATGAGTGCCAACTGCAGGTAAGTTGCAGTGAAAGAAGGGAGAAGGGTGGAAAAATTACAAGGAAATAAAAAAGGTAAAAGAATGCCAAAGAAAAGGAAATGAAAGATAGGGAGAAGGTTGCCACAAACAATTTTCAAGATAACAAGGTTTTCTTCAAAAGGGAAACATAAGTGGCACTGGCTAAACAAGGAAAGTAAAGTAAAGATTTCATTGACTGATCATAAAAAACACAAAATCAGGAAACAACCAGTTCATAGAAAAACACCTAATGAGCATTATAGACAACACAGAAGATTAAAACAGAAAAATTCATGGGATGATAATGAGCATAAATACATCAATATCTAAACTGTATTATGTCCAGTTAACTGCAGGAGTTCATTCCAAGGTAACCTGCATGACAGAGCAGTTGATCTGGTAACACTGAATGGGGAAGAGTTGACAGATATGCTTTAAATGGCGTGTTATTTATAATTTATGATCACAGATTACCTAAGAATACATTTCTTCTACTGTATCTATGTAAAATGTGGGAAAATAGTGTTATTCAGAAATATATGACATTGCTGCAGGACGATTCATAATGAGGATCCGACTTAAACGATTATTCGTACTGTTGATGCCAACGAGTATTTTTCATGCTTAATAACACATTCATTATAAAGCATTTTCAGCACTAAATCGGATGCTGACAGAAGAAATATCATTATGTCACTTGCGCACGCACAAAAAAAATGTAAAGTGATAGTGCATGTTTCTTGGTTATCATGTTTAGTCTTTGTTAACCCTAGTTCGTTCGTTCCATCCTTCCTGCCCTCCCTTCCCACTTCTTCCCACTCACTGCCTTCATTCAGGTTTTCATCACTTGAAATCTAATTTTTTTTAGGGTGCTAGCTAGAGGAAAAAAAGTCAAAGTACTAAAGCTGTTAACTAAGATCGTTTTTAACTGCTGCACTATCAGAGGTTATTCCTAAGCTGAATAAGATCATCTGTCAGTGACCAGCATAAGTGAAAGTCATATCATAATGGTGTTAATAAAGACATTATTGGTGGCCATTTACTATCACCACTTATAACTACAAATTACCAGAATAGTGTACGTACTTACAAAACCCTCCATCTCTGTCACCCACCTTCCCTGTCTCCTCTCTCTCACCATTGGGACTGTCTATAATATCTACTCTCCCTCCCTCCTTTCGCTCCTGGGAACTGTGTGATGTGCCGTATTTTTTGGCTTGAAAGAGACACTTTTTATGACAAAAATATACCTTGAAAATTACCATGCATCTTCCAGGACACTAGTTGATAGTTGTAGCAGAGGTTTCCTTAGGGTCAACTGAAATCAGCCCCTTACAAAAATTGTTACCTCATTACTGTACAGTACTTAGCAATTACAAGTATTCTCTATACAGTACAGTGATCCCTCGGTTAACGAACGCATCGGTTAACGAATTACCTTCTATAAGAATCTTCATTTCGGTTAACGAACAAAAATTCGGTCAACGAAATTCTTACGAAATCATGTCAACATGTTTTCACTTGCTCACCAGCTGGAATATTAGTCCGCCAATACAGTAATCAGTTCTAGGGCTTAAATTCGTTCCCATTTGAGTAAATATCAAGAAGGTTGTACTATTCAATAATTTTCCAAGTTTTATATAAAATTTTTCAGTCATTTTAACACTTATTTAACATAATTGGAGTACAAGAAACTAGTTTTTGGTGCGCCACTCAGCCACTTGACTCACCAACCAAGGCGTCAGTTTGTATCTCTGGTCAGTGGAGGTAACATCTTGCTTGTGGCTCTCTTGAACATAAACTATTTTTACGTTTTTACAGTCCAATTATTGGTCATTCTGAAATTTATTTTACATATTGACAATATATTGTGCAGTGCAGTGTTGATGTAAAGAAAATAACCTTGAATTACACCAAGTGAACTTAAAATTTTATGGGTGAAATGACGGCATGAAGCGTGGGGTGACTTCTCTTCCACCCCCACTTCCTTCTCTTCTCCCTTCTCCTCCACCCCCACTTTTAATTCCCATCATCATCATCATCATCAACCAGGATCCTTCTACATACACACCTCAAAGTAAGTGTACTTTACTGCATTTATTTTTACTTTGTACAGTATAGTCTCGATTTACGCGGATTTGGTTTACGCGTTTGGTCATTTACGCGGCACCTTGCCAGACCGACAATTTTTATTTAAGCGGTGTATTCCATCATTTACGCGGAAAGCGGCACGGACAGGGTGCGCACAAGGTCGCCCAGTCAACAAAACATTACCGAGTTCTTCACCCGCCACACAACCACAGCCAGCCCAAGTCAGTGATAGTGAGGATATGGACTTTGAAGGGTTTGACAAAGAGGCCCTGCAAGCCTCTGTGGTGGATAGTGATACAGGTGATACAAGTGATACAGGTGAGGGCCAATAATCTGCCCTCTGCCTCAGAACCAACCCCAATCCCCATGTACCCAGCCATCTCTTCTACTAAGTAAGTGTTAAAAAACCTAATATTATTGATATTTCTCTTAAATATTAATTTTGTGCATACCATCATAAAATTAAGATGTTATTTTTACTACAACGTACGTAACGTATTGTGTCTGGGTGAAGTATAATTTGTTTATTTACTGAAAATATTTGTTTTTAGCTCATAAAATTCATAGAAATTGCCCGGCCAGAATATAATTTACATTGCTGGAATTCTTATAAGACAGTGATTAATTTGAATATAAACAAGCTAAGATTTGCATTAGACATACAAATTTTAGATCTAATTTAAGAATTTTATTAGAGCAAAAATTTTATCTTTTGGGCAAAATATATGACGTTTATATTCAAATTATTGGCAGTCTTGCAAGGAATCCAGCAATGTCAATTATATTATCCTAACCATTGTCTGAGGTATTATTTATTACTAAACCTAAAAACCAAGTGTTTTCACCCAAACATTTCTCAGGGAGGGAGGAGAGCCAGCGAGCGTGGGAAGAAAGGGGGGGGGGGAGCCGAGTCCATTATTTGAATGGACATTAACCGGCGACTGTATTTCTCTTAAATATTAATTGTGTACGCATACCATCATAAAATTAAGATGTTATTTTTACTACAACGTACTATTGTGACGGAAAAAGTGTGGTTTGGGGGTCGGCCCAGTCTCTATTTCAATTAATCCCATATGTTCTGTTATTTCGTTTCGCGTTTCTCGTTTTACGCGGACCTCCACGGGTTCAATTGACCATGTAAATGAAGACAATACTGTATGTAATTTTCGGTGAGCTGGAACCAATTATCCAAAATCCCATTGAAACAATGGTTTTGGTTAACAAAATTTTCGGTTAACGAACTACCTTCTGGAACGAATTGTGTTCGTTAACCGAGGGACCACTGTACTATAAAACTATTAATTTAATTAATATTGTTGATATAATGCAAAAAAATAAAAATAAACCCTTGCTGCTGTGCGGTCTGTTCACTAATGGCAGTGGTGCGGCAGCGCCATCTATTGAGGAATTGCTAAAGGTTGTCTGCTGGTCTCAAAGCGCAGGAATGTTTGTTTCTTCATACGTAGGCTCTCATATTTGGACACTTATTAAGACTGTAAAAACCTCGCAAAATTCAAATCGTCCAAATTTAAATACAACTTCCTATGGAGAAAATTTATTTGAGTCTGGTACTTTCGATGTTTCAGCTAAATTTGGCCTTATTTACCCTACAGTAGGTTCTCAAATTCCGCGAGTTTTTAATTCGATGTTTTATATTTGGAAAAAAAAATGCTACACAATTTCAAATTTCGACGGCGTAACTCGAATTTCTACAGGTTTGAGCGGCCCGACAACGTTCAGACGTGCACTATCTTGTAAAGAGCGTCATTTCTCTTATGTACAAAAGATTCATTATTGTTTATAACTTAATTTCTTTTTGATTGAATTAATGTTTATGTGTGCAAAATGAACAATACAAATTCATTAATAATATGTAGAATATTAAAACACACGAGGAGACAAGACGGCATTGTTTTTGTTAATGTTTACAAAACCAGTGACTGATTGGTTCTACATATAAAACTGAAGAAAATAAGACCTTGGTTGTAGCTGTAGTAAAATTAATGTAAAAAAATTAATACCCTGTATGGTTGTTTTAAATACTGTAATGTTATTTAATGTTAATAAATGGAAGAATGGAAGTAGCTAACCATTAATGATAAAGAAAAAAGTGAGATCGCGTATGTAAGTGCACACATTTGAAAACATATTGTCATTACTTTACATAAGAATATGAAAGGAACACTTATTTACTCTTCAAATATATTGTAATTAATGTTTCTGAATTTAAAACAAAAATTCTACCCACCAGTGGTGGTAAAGTTGAAAACATAAGGACAGCCAATGTTGTTGTGTGTGTTTTTACTCGGATGACGAAGTTGCCAAGTCATCAGGTTCAACTCTAACTGAAGTTGTAGAACATAAGAACTTTTTCTGTTGTTTTTAGTTGTTATTTAACTTTATCTGTGTTATTTTTGTTGGTTTATTTGGATGTTGCTTTACTACAAGTAGTAATTCGCCCAAAAAATTGGGTAAATAAAGCAAAATTTAGCCAAACATCTAAAGTACCAGACTCAAAT